TTAAAGTTTGCATTACGGACGCAACTCTTATTGTTCGACGAGCACGAATTAATCCAAGTGTATTACTCGCACATTATAAAGTTTTAGCTTCTACCACTGCTAAATATCCTATTACTCCAGCTGAAGTAAAAGTTTTAACAATTCCATCGGGTGTTCAAGGAAAAACTCTTGATAATATATTTTTAGGGCAGGTACCCAAAAGATGTATAATTGGATTTGTGAACAATTCTGCATTTAATGGTTCCCTTACTAAAAATCCATTTAACTTTGAAATCTATGGTATTAATTCTTTCAGCTTATATATTGATGGTCAACAAATACCTTCAAAAGCTTTGCAACCATCTTTTAATAATAGCATATTTACATCAGCATATCATACTCTATTCTCGGGAACTGGTATTCACTTTCTCAATGAAGGAAATGGAATCTCTTGTGAACAGTATGCCAAAGGTTACTGTCTATTAGCATTTGACTTAACTCCTGATTTATCAGCCAACTCATCAGCTCATTGGAATCTCATAAAGCATGGTAGTGTAAGATTAGAAGTACGATTTGAATCCTCACTAATACAAACAATTAACTGTATAGTTTATGCTGAGTTTGATAATATTATTGAGATAGATAAAAACAGAAATGTTACTGTAGACTATAGTAGTTAAGGTTATAATATGTGTTGTGTGTTAGGTATTTTATGAGTTATGTGTAATGCATTTTGTGTGTATGTAACTATGTGAAACATTATAAAATTAAATAAAACAAATTATATGCAATATATTATTTTTTATTTCTTTATAAATATTCTATTTAATCTAATACAAAACTCTGTTCGAGTTTAAATTTTACATAAGCACACTGACTAAACCACTGAACATGCTGCTGCCAAGGATCATCATCATCTTCCCAATCTTTTAAACCACCACCACAATGGAAACACTTGGTCCTGTCTGCATGGCCAGTATAAAAGAAACCGGCTTCTGCAAGATCTTCAGGTTTCTGTTGCATAACGAGAGGCCAGTTTTCGAAACTGAGCAACCGGCTAGATTTTGAACTGAAGAATGGATATTCAGCTCTTGAGTACTGCATATTCTCGTTTTCATCTCCACTCAGTGTTGTAGCTTTGTTCTTCAATGATGTGTTCTGTACACGTATGCCACACTCATCTCTTTTTTCTTCTGCTCTTGTCTTCCTGTAATTTAAGTAAACAGAATCACATTCACTAATGATCAGCTAATGACTGTCATTGTTAAAAAAGTATTTTTTAACTTTTTCACTTTCTGCTATTGTCTTTGTAATATTGTATACGAGGGCGTTTGTGTTGTCGTAGATGCTATCCTTATTAGTCTTTACGTAATATTTAATCCTCGTGGAAGCATGTTTCCAATGATCAGTAGTTGGAATCTTGGATAGCTTCTTCATATCGTACATTTCAATTTTGATGAGATGCGTCGCTTGGTCTCCGTCGTCAGAATTAGTAGAAATGTATGATACACCATCTCTAGCGGCTAGTGCTACGGTTAATGATAACAGCTTCCTCTTTTTTATTTTTGATTCAGCTTCAAAAAAATGATCAATCGATTGCGATTTTCTTTTTCCACCATCGCATGTGTTATTATTAATGACGATGTCATCACTCTCTTCTTGAGGGGAGAGTGGCGAGTAGTAATACTGTTTATAGGTATTTTCATCGAAGCTCAATGATTTCTGCAACAACACAGTTATCATGTTAATATCAATTTGTTAACACTTAATCGTAAAAGTTAAAAAAGCTAAAGTTACAACCTATTAAAGTCCACTGCTGAACGTAGGCCTCCTCTCATTTCTGAGAGGGTTCTATAAAGGTAAAATGGAAATGTTCGCTGTGATACCTCAATGCGTGTTGGCAAACTTCACATGCCTTCGAAATTTTCTCAGAAATGCATTCCTCACGATGTTTTCCTTCACCGCTGAGCACGTGGTAAATCAGCACTTAAAATTGTAATTAACAATTTAATTGGTGCCGGCGGGGATCGAACCCGGGTCGTGTACTATGAATTTTACATTTTGCGCTAACCATCTGAGCTACCACGGCTTAACCATATACACACACATAATATTTAAATATAATTTGTTAACGCTAAATCATACACACGTAAGAAAATAACAGAAAGAAAAGTAAGTTTGTCAATAGAATAAACACTTACATCCATGGCCTTTGATGCCCAATAAACTACCCATGTACACCCACGTACCAACGTATATAATATGCAATTTGGATACAGATGATAAACCAGGGTCACATTGGGTAGCTTTATATATCGATACGAATGACGTCGGTCAATATTTTGATTCATTCGGACGGGCACCTGTACGATATCATCTAGAGTTTTTTAAAAGAAATTGTAAAAGATGGAACTGGAATGTTGATAGGATTCAGAATGAGTGGACTTCAGTTTGTGGCGAATATTGCTTAATGTATTTGCTATATAAGTTTCAGGGATGTTCAATGCATAGTTTTACGAGTATATTTACAGAGAACACATTGTACAACGATATTTTAGTGGATGAGATGTTTCGCTCCTATTTTATAGATAATAAGTAATAAGATTTTGTATTTCATAAATAAAAATTTTAACAAAATTAGGTAATGTGTTTTATTGATGATTCAGATTAGTGTTGTAGATAGGAACAAAGGAGTATAATACAATAGCATAAGCCGACCCACACGCTGACTAATAATAGATAATGACGGTAGTCAATCAACAATAGATAAGTAGATAAGGACAATGGAGCGCTAATGACGGTTGAGGCTCGCAGGGGATATCAATTAGATAAGAGTCAATTGATCTGCACATCTCCGGAACCGTGCATCCTACGCAAAAATGGACCGCAGATTCGTGATCAGAGCATGCCAAAACCTTCTTTTTTTTTTTTTTTTTCTTTTTTTTTTTTTTTTTTTTAAGGATCGTGAGTCGACGAACGTCGTGCGCCAGAACTGGTACAACCTTTCTACAAGTGCGCCAGAACTGGTACAACCTAACTACTGCAGTTGTATTAGTAGTATAGTTGTAGCATGAATGGGTCGGCTCGACCGTGGAAGAACCACGCTCTCACAGAATACCAGTGTCAAATAATATAATAAATAAAAATAAATAATATAATAGCTTAATGCTACTGTGTTTCATATGGTTAGTGTAGAGAACCGGAGACCTTTTTACTGGAAACGAGGCATTCCATCTAAGTCCTCACGGGCGACAACGCATCTGCATTTTGATTCATAACCACAGCAACCTCTTACCATCAGGTGAACTGTGTGCTCGTTTGTCACCCTATCCTATAAAAAAAAATTATGGAAGGCTGATAAGAAATTTAAAATGGAGCTAAAGAAGTTTAACTTCAGTCATGTGCTCATAAGCCCGTTCGTTTTTTGTCAATTAAGTCATTTAATTTCATATCTTAACACTGACTATCGATCTCAGCAACTCTTAAAAAAATCATATATTGAAATAATACTAGTTTTTACGGAATTTATCGCCCGTGACCATGAGTGCTGTAAAGCGTTCGAAACGTCGGGTATTTAAAAAGTTAAATATACGCGATAAATACCGTAAAAATTAGTATTATTTCAATGTGTAGTGTTCGCGTAAATATAAGAAATCATTAAATCATATCTAATAGAAAGGGGAGCGCCGTGCCGAAAGCACACTGCTCCTAACATAGCACAAGTCACAGGTGCCCGTGAATAATTCGGTACAATAATCTTTAATATTTTTTCTTTTTTTAACGGTAAGTTAAAAAAATAGTAAAGCTCTACTAAATGTCACCTATAGGGCAATCTATGGCGGAACCCAATGTCATCAATAAACTTTTATAGGCTGAAAGGGATAGGCTGTGGATGGATGGATACTAAATACTAATACCATGTTGGACAGCCATAGTATATTACTATTATGATGCTTATTTTCCTCTTAAAATACCTACGTGAGGGTAATATGGTCGCTTTAAGCTTTGCCGCCTAATAAAATCAAAACTTGGAAAAGGACAGAGACAAAAACGCAAAGTCGAGTACTATAACTAATATATTAAAAAAATAACAAAGAAGCTTTGGCAGTAATAAGGAACACTTCAAAAAATCTACTTCACTACTCGTACAAAAACTAACTACACTACACCATAATGAAATCGACTAAAATATTAGCTATATCAACCCGTCAAAATGGCGTAGATAAAACATCACCCCTTTGACCCTTTATTATTTGATTGACCGATGAAAAGCTGTCGTATCACAAAGCTATCTATGCATACAAGGTTGTAGTTTTTGAGTTACAGGAATGTGACCATATTAACCAGATGACCATATAAACCTCACGTGCATTTGCTGGTATTCAAGACGTTGTATTAGGTTAGATAATACCACAAAATAAATGATAATATTACGTAATAATATGCTCGTAACTATTTTGATAATGGAACTCTACTTAGTAGACTACATTATAAAATATTCTTGGAACACATTAGAAGTAAATATAATATATATTCTAAAATGAATGGTGTATGCAAACCAACCGCGACATAGCCCATCACGACGCGACATAGGCCGGCCTCACTGCAACGTCACCTTCTTTGCTGGTACTAAAAGTTACTTACCACGACGGACAGTATGACGACAACAATTGACACTCGTTGAATGACCCAAAGTAGTCAAGGTAGTCTGCGCAGTTCTTTATATATATATATATATATATATATATATATATATATATATATATATATATATATATATATATATATGTAGGTACTTACCTTTTTTAGACCCGTATCTATTATATCTGTTAAGAAGCAGTGCGTCCATGCCGTGTACTCATTTGGGGGTTATAGGGAGCCATAGTTGCGGGCTGTAGAGCATTTCATCTTCTCAGAGATAGCAGTAATAGTTGGACTCCGCTTCGCTCTAAGTGTATATTAATGTGGGGCCATCATTTGCTAAAGCAACTGTAGGTTGTTCATGGTTAAAACCCCGGCCGATGAAAATTATAGAGGGACCTAACCTTTCGCCGGGTGTGCTTAAGAAGCGCCTGATGATCTACCCGATTGCCGTGCAGGGTGATTTAGTAACGGGCGCTGCGTACGAGCACTGCGATATCTCAGATTCATCGCCTGGGCTCGGCGCACGTCGCCCGCTTGCCGCCCGCCGCCCGCCGCCCGCCGCGATAACACGCCGTACGTGCGACAGATGTCCCGCGTTTTGTGGGAAAAGAAACATCAGTTTTCCTTAAAAACAATATTACTCAATTGTTTATCGTGGAATATTAAGCCTGCTAGCTATTTATAAAAACGGAATACTTAGGTAATAAATAATTTATTCATGTTATTAATTGTTAAACAAAAATAATATTCATAATATTTGGAAAATTCAGAAAAAAATGCACGCCTCACACGTTTATTGTGTTGTATTGTATGTAAAAACTTTAAATTAAAAGAGTAGGAAATAGTAACGATAACTTTTGCAAGAAGAAAAAAAACAAGAGAATCTGAGTTTGTTAATTATAAGATCCCAAGCAGATGGCAGCACCCATCTATCTATTGAAATTTGATGTTTTTTTTAATTTCAATAGTAGAGCGATATCACCCTTGTGGGATGGGAAATATGGACTAATTTTCTTCGGCGGCTCGTAGTATGTTTTAACGGAAGCTCGCTTCAAGATGTAGCCAATCTTGTCTGTGACTCCTCTGTTATATGGTAGTAGTACAGCAGGCGAGATCGACTGTGGCCAGCTTCACTCGGTTACTGTGACGTAGGCGCGGGACCCGAATCTTGTTGTCTTGCAATATTTGCTTGATGTGTTGTAGCTCGGCTACCAGATGTTTTCTGTCATAGATCTCTTGTGATCTCTGAAACAAAGATTTACCTACGGTAGCTATGATGGATAATGGTGAGATTCACCATTTAAATATCGATTGGTAAGGGTCTTTTGGTATTTACGGAGGGAGGGGGGTGAATCGGTGCTGTAAAACACGAAACGTCGGTAATTATAAATAAGTTAATTAAACGTGATAAAATCCGTATAAATAGTTTTGTTTATACGGATAAAATTTTGAAAATGTTGAGTAAGTAGCGTAAACAATAATCATTCAAAAGTAAGAACATGTCTAGGACAGTGACCCATACATAGAGGACACTCAGCTGTTAAAAACAACCTGTATACGTGCCACTTGCAAGGAAAGACTTATGCGATGCAGTAGACGGTGCAGGTACGGTTATTTATTATTAAAACTTTTTGGAATAAGCAGCAAACATTCGATGTGGAACAAGAATGTTGTTTAGTTTGCGGTGGAAACTATAAATTCATTTTCTAGGTCGATGTACACCTGCCATAGTAAAAACGTTTTATTTATGCTACACCAAATTCACTGAACAACTAACTTAAATTGGAAATGCGCGACTGATTATTATAAATTTTTAATGTAACATGTTACATTAAAATAAATAAAATAAATAACATTAAATGTAGTAACTCAGGGTAGAAAGAAAGCCGCCTGCACAAATTGTGTTCTTTAATTGATCTATACAATGGCTAAACAATGTATACATAACGAAGACTTCTTTTGACATGAGACGACATCGATATAATGCGTCGTCTCGTTGTTCGTCGTCGTCGAGCGTTTATGTCGCTTAATAGTTGTAGCTTTGCTGTTGTAGTTGTAGGTTTTATGATTTATTTCTATGTATGATGCTTGTAAAATTTGCTTGGTAAATAACACACACTCCTGTATTTATTTGATGAATATATTGTTATAAACTGAAGTAAAATTGATAATATTATATTTTACGTGGTAGAGCCATGCCGCAGCTATGTTATGGTTGTAGAACGAATGGGTCGACTCTATAGGGAAAGGACCACACTCTCACAGAATACTAGCGTAAAACAGCAGCTCAATGTTGCCGTATGGAGTGTAGACATGTGTTGCCGTGTAACAATAAAGTAACTTATTTTCAAACAAAGACGGTACTTTAGAATTTGACATTTCTTATTACCACAGACTAAGAGTATGTACAGTATTTTCTAATTTTCTTAGATATAGAGTTCTTTAAATTATCTGAAAATTACATTTTGGATTTGATTGAGTGAAGTAGCGTTGAAGTGTTTAACTCCGTGCTAATCCTCTTACGTTCAAAATTGTGATACAAGTGTACTCGTAGATGGAGTATTAGCGTACTGTTTCTTCATCATGAACGTTACTTGTAGTGTTCCGTATTGCAAAAAGAAAGCGTAATATTATTGTTTCACATGGTTTTCCTAATATTGATATAGGACTCCAGCGGTTAAAAAATATAAATTGTGCATGATTGAAGCAGCTAAGTTCAGAGGAGCTGCAAAATTAAAAAAAAAGGTAATTTATTTCTAACAAGGAGCTAAACCTACACTAATATTAAAAATATAGAAAGTGATAGAGGCGGTTTTAAAAAATGGATTAATTCCTGTAGCTCTGGTATTATTATATCGAACATCGTTTTAGTCAGCTGTTAATAAGTTGAAGGATGATACTAAAAAAAAAACAAATATTGGTTAACGTTAATATTGGTACCTACCTAAGCTAATTGAATAAAATTGAAAGTACAGTGTTAAAATTAGCATTAATGTATTTTTATAATTTTGATTGCTTATTAACCAAATGTTTGTTTTCATTTTAGATGATACAATCATAATAAGGGTTAAAAGAATAAAATCATATTCGATCTTCAAACAGTCTGAGAAATAATTTTTTTGGAAAAAATATATGGAATGGGAAACATATAAATGGGATGGTATTAAATGTTTATTTAACAGATGGTAAACATTGAGGAAAACATATAAATGATGAATATGTTATTCCTCAGAAATTAAAAAAAATTAAGGTAAGCTTACCTTAATTTTTAAATGTATAAAAATTTTATGCCTTTTTAGTGTAAATAAAAATATTGGTCTAATATCTATTTTTATGTGAATACAGTCTTGAAGTAAAGCCAAAATAATCAATACGATTATTAACTATATTTTTCAGATGAAACACTGCAGTTCTGCTAAACATGACTGTCGCATGAGCCTTGACATAATCACATCACAATTCTGTAAGTTTGTTGATCTAAATGTTATTATTCTATTCTAATCTGTATTGTAATTTACAATATGGGGGAATATATCAAAGTCTTCACCAAATTACAACAACATCTGAATGAAGTAAGACCTGCTTAGTAATGAATAGTGTAACCTACTGCTGTAGGTAAAACATTTGTATGAGCACCACCGTAAATCTCACAGACTTATGATGGAGAGTGTATTGCAGCTATTGACTCATTGTAATATCCCACCATCGTCTAGTCCACTGCTAAATATATGCCTCTTCCAATGAAAATGCAAACATACATAGACCTGTCTCATGTGTACCCATTATTTTCCTGCATGTCTTATCAAATCATCATTCTAGTGGGGGCCATCCGGTGCTTCGCATACTGGTTTGCGGCTACCAATGAAGCACCTTTTGAATTCACTAACCTATATAAGCCTAAATCCAACAGTTAATATAAACGGAGATAGCGAATATCTTTTATTTTTATTTTTTATTACTATATAATACTTATATTGCATACAACATTATATTACATAAACACTGACAATAAACTACGTATTAAATGTACAATTAGCTGGCCTTAATGCTAAACAGCGATCTGTTCCAGGCAAAACTATGGTGAAGGAGATTATTTTTATTTAAACATATGTCTCCATAAATACGTATAAGCTGCATTATGTAGAATATAATAATAAAAGGCAAACATACAACATTATATCATGAAGATAATAATATATTGCATATGTTTCAATAATTTAGGGTTTCTATGACTAACATAATGTTAATATCTAGTTATTTATTACTAATTCTAATTTTAAAATGCTGATGGAAAAGCTGTAAGTTCAACTTCAAAAAACACATTAGAAGTTGTGTTATTTTTGATGACTTATTTGACTTATGCAATGGAGCGCCTGTTAGCCGGAAACACAAAGGGAAAGCCTTAAGGCAAGCTGTAACCAACTCATCGGACCATGAAGACTTTCGACAAATTTTACAAGAAAATTGGACCAAAAATATGTACATGGAACTGATGTAATGTGATTATTACTGATGTAATATGATGTGAATATAACCGACGTAATGTGATCTTAAAAGAATTGGATGTTGTTAGATTAAAATTAGATAACAATTTGGCGCAAATGCAAAATAATGTATATAAAAATTTTCAAAAAAAAAACTTGTATAAATTAAAGTCGTTTTATTTTTGTACAATAAATTTAATTTTTAAAATTTTAAAAGTACCTATTAAGTTTTAAATGGTGAATAGCCGTGAGGTGGACATTTGACCTTAGGCCCAAAAAATTAAAAATTAAATAATGTCAAACTCTAAAGTACCGTGTTGTCTTACCGTATTGGTTGTTCCAGGATTCCGTTCTGATGCGTAGCATCCTCTTAGTGAGTAGATCCTCTGTGAGTGTAGAGAACTCAACTGGGGTAGGACCACGCTCTCATAGAATACTAGTATAATAGCAGCTTAATGCTGCTGTGTTTCATATGGTGAGACAATCGGAGAGTCTTTTTACTGGAAATGATGCACTCCATCTTAGCCCTTAGGGGGGATAACGCATGTGCATTTTGATTCTTATTCGATGATCGACAATAGATGTCTATGGTCTAAATTATAAATATTGAAAAATTGCTATGTTGAATTATGCTAACAAGCAAGAGATTAACGCAGTACCGGCAAGAACTCGACAGGGTCCATGTTGCATTCCCGTCGTACCTGCCATTTTGAAAGAAACCTTAACTGCTCACACATTTAAGCTCTTTCTTACCACCCGTATATGTGTGAAATAACCCAAACAATTGTGTACTCCTAGTATAGAACAAATTTTGCACATTTAACATAATTACGGGTCTATTACTTTAATAGATTGAATATGAATGATTTTTTTGGTTATAATATATTTACAAAATGTTGTCGGTCTATAGCAAACCAGTGAGCCTTTGAAAAGGTTAATTACAAGTGAACAATTATTAAGCCGGAGGCCAAAGAGAAGACTTTATAAACCACTACAGTACCATTGTCTATGAATTAGTTCTATATGGGTTCACCGGCATACTAGTAAACTTCATGTAAACTGAAATAGTGCCATTACTTGAACGCTAAGCTAAAAAATCCTATACGATTAACAAACATGTGCATATGTTGCTTCTCCCAACAATT